TTTTGGGATGGGGGGGGGGTTGGGGTTTTTTTTGGAGGGTCCCGGGGGTGTTTTTGGGAGGAATTTTTTTGGGAGGCAGGGTCACTTGATGTCTGTGGCCTCCACAGAGCCCCCATGAAGGGGGTTTTGGGGGGCTCTGTGGGGTCCAGGGGAGTCAGGGAATTTGGGGTTTTTTTGGGGGGATCCCGGGGGTGTTTCTGGGGGGGATTTCATGGGGGGGTTCACTTGAGGCAGCGCTCGAAGTCCATGGCCCCCACGTAGCCCTCCCTGAGTGGGGTTTTGGGGGGCTCCGTGGGGTCCAGGGAGGTCAGGTATTTTGGGGGGGGGGTCCCGGGGGTGTTTCGGGGGGGGATTTTCGGGGAGGGGGGGTCATTTGAGGCAGCGCTCGAAGTACGTGGCCCCTACGTAGCCCCCCCGCAGCGAGCGCTGCACGTTCTGCTCGAAGAGGCGCCGGTTGCTCTGCAGGACCTCGGCCGCCTCCTTGTTCAGGGGGTCCTCGGGGTTTGGCTCCTGGAGGGGGGGACACAGAGCCCATGAGCAGCCCCCCCCAGATCCAAAAACGCTTGAACAGACCCCAAAACCCCATTAACAGCTCCCCCACCAAACCCAAAACATTCCCCCCAGACCCCAAAACCCCATTAATACCCCCCAGACCCCAAAACCATTTAACAACCCCCCCAGAACCCATTAACACCCCTCGGACCCCAAAACACCGCCCCAGCCCAAAACCCCATTAACATCCCCCAGGGACCCCAAAACACTTCCCCGACACCCCAAACCCCACAAACGCCCCCTGGGACCTCCCCCAGTGTCTCCTTTCAGACCCCAAAACCTGCCTGCCCTTGCCCCCACCAGCCCCCCAGCCCTCCTTGCCACCCCCCACCATGTCCCCAGGTGTGTCCCCATGTCCTGCACCCCCACCACGTGTGTCCCCAGGTGTGTCCCCCCATGTTCCTCACCAGGAACAGGTACTGGAGGCCGTAGATGATGGAGTTGATGGTCAGGACAGGCTTCCAGTCCTCCCTGTGGACATATGGACACGTCATGGACACGAAACGGACACGTCACGGACACACGGACACGACACTGGCACATGGACACAGGGACAGACAGACATGGGGACACACAGACACAGCCAGACACACGGGGCAGCGCCGCCACCACGGACACCAACAGGTGGCCACGGCCACGGGAGGTGGTTGACAGCCCCCCGTGGGTTCGTAGCCCCCAGGAGCTGTTCAGTAGCCCACCTGAGGATGTTGAGGCACGTGTTGCCCCTCAGGGATGTCAGTAGCCCCCTATGGGGTGTTTGGTAGCCCACCTGAGGATGTTGAGGCACACATTGCCCTCCAGGTCGATGTTGGGGTGATAAACCATCGTCTCGCACTTCACCTTGGGGGGGTCGTGGGGGTACCCCTGGCCCACCTGGGTGGGAGGATGCAGCCACCAGTCACGGGTGGTGGCCACCGGTCCCACCTTGGTGGCCACCAGCCCCCAGGGTCCCCGTTGGACCCACGGCAGCCCCAGCAGGGCTTGGTGGCCACTGCTCAGGGAGGGGTGGCCACCAGGTGTTCCCCCTCCAACGCCACTGGTGGCCAAAGGAGGAGTTTGGTGGCCCAGGGACAGGTTTGGTGGCCCAGGACTCACCTTAAAGCTGAAGACAAATTTGCCGCCTTTGTAGAAACCCTGAGGGACAGAGAAGTGTCATGGGGGGGACATCTGGGGACACTGGGGGACATCTGGGGGGGTTGGGGACACTGGGGGAACCCCAGGGATGGGAGGGGACAATTGGAGGGGTCAGAGGGGAACAGGGCGGGGGAACACAAGGACAGTGGGGATCCCAAAGTGACCCGAGGGGAAGGGGGGACAATCAGGGAGGGACGTGGGGGGAACAGGAGATGACACATGGGACACAGGGGGTGACACAGCTGACAGGAAGGTGACCCAGGTGACAGAGAGGTGACACAGGTGACAGTCTCACCTCGTCAGGGCAGATGAGCAGCCGGAAGTGCAGCAGGTCGTCCTGGTCGGAGAAGTCGATCTCGCACGTCTTGGGCAGGTTCAGCTCGTTGATGTCTGGGGACAAACGGGGACATTTGGGGACATTGGGGGGACACTGGGGGGGTTGGGGCAATTAGGGACATTGGGGGGGATTGGGGACACCAAGGGACACTGGGGGGACATTGGGGACACAACACAGGTGACACACAGGGGACAGAGACAAAGGGTACACAGACACGTCCCCATTGGGACCAGTGTGTGACCCCAACTGGGACCAGTGTGTGACCCTTCCTGGGACCAGTCCCTGATCCCAACTGGGACCAGTATCTGGCCCCCAGCAGAATTGTACTGGGACCAATACGTGACTCATACTGGGAGCAGTATGTGACCCCAACTGGAGCCCCAACCTGATCTCTACTGGGACCAGTCCCTGACCCTTAATGGAACCTGTATCTGACCCTTACTGGGATCAGTCCCTGACCTATACTGGGACTACCCCCATCCCCCCACCGGGGCCTATCTGGGCCCAGTCCCTGATCCCCGCTGGGCCCAGTCGCTGAACCCCCCTCGGGATCGTTACCGGTTCCAGTCCGTGCCCCTCACTGGTCCCAGTCCGTCCCAGCCCGCCCCAGTCGAACCTTTCTGGATCCGCAACTGCGCCGCCGAGGCCTTTTTGCTGGAGCTCTTAGTGCCTCCGGCCGATTCCTCCTCCTTCTTCTGCTGCTTCAGAGAGAACAGCTTGATCATCCTGCCGGCCCGGGCCGGGGCGGCGCCGGCCCCCCCGGGGGGCGCGGAGGGAGCGACGGCTTGGGGCTTTCTGGGGGGGCTTGGGGGGTTTTTGGGGGGGTTTCGGGGGGTCCGGGACCGACGGGGCCGGGGGCGAGCGCTGAGGGCCGGCCCGCTCGGCAACTTCCGGAGCCGCTCGTCAACTTCCGGAACCGCTCGGCAACTTCCGGAACCGCTCGGCAACTACTCCGGGAAGGGTTCGGTAGAGTCCGGGAAGGGTTCAGGAAATTCCGGGAAGGGTTCGGGGATCTCCAGAAGGAGTTCGGGAAAACTTCGCCTATTTCCGGCCACACCGACCAATCCCCGCGCAGGGGGGGGCAGGGCTTGAGGCACTTTCTCCCACCGGGCGCCGCCATCTTGGCCATGGGCGCCGCCATCTTGGCCATGGGCGCCGCCATCTTTACCGGGGGGGCGCTGTGCTGGGACCAGTTTGCCCTCTGTAGTGGGTTACCCCTGGCTGGATACCAGATAGCCACTAAAGCCGCTCTCTCACTCTCCCTCTGCAACTAGACAGAGGAGAGAGAAAAAAAAAAAACAGCCAAGGGCTCAGGAGTCAAGATAAGAGCTGGGAGAGGTCAGTGACTGATCACCTTCATGGGCAAAACAGACTCAAAGTGGGGATAGTACTTTAATTTATTACTAACAGGATAAAGCCAAAGAATGAGAAATGAAACAGTCTTAAAAAACGCCTTCCCCCCACCCCTCCTTCCTTCCATGTTCTCTCTCCCTCCCCCAGCAGTGCAGGGGGACAGGAATGCCACGGTCAGTTGTTGTTTCTGCCGCTGCTCAGGGAGAGGAGTTGGAGTCCTTGCCCTGCTCCCATGGGGTCCTTCCCATGGGAAACAGTCCTGGATGGACCTCTCTGGCATGAGTCCATCCCTCGGGCAGCAGCTCTTCCCAAACTGCTGTCCCGTGGGTCACTCCTCCGTGGGGTCAGTCCTTCACAGATGAGCTGTGCCGACGTGGGTCCCCTACGAATCCTACCCAGGGAAAACCCACTCCAGCCTGGGCTTCCCTCTTCATGGGCTGAAGGTCCCTGCCAGGACCCCATTCCATCCTGGGCCTCCCCTGGGGTCACAGCCGAGCAAACCCTGACCCGCATCGAGGAAGGGCCAGGAGCAGTTTTATCACTCCAAGGAGCAGAACTGGGGTCCCAGAGGGAGGATCACGACCCCAGGGAGAGGGACTGGGGTCCTGGGAGGGTGGACTGTGGTCCCAGGGAGAAGGAATTGGGGTCCCTGGGCGTGTTTCAGAACCCCAGGGAGGGGGATCAGGACCCTGGAGAAGGAGAACTGGGGTCCCAGGATGCCGGGGGTGACCCCGGGTGGTCCCAGCACCCCCGGGGAGGGGGCTCAGGCAGTGGGGGGGTCCCTGGGTGGTCCCAGAATTTCCTGTCCCCGAAGACGCGGCTCAGGTGGCTCTCGAGGAACCTCTGGACACTTAGCAGGGACTGCAGCCCAGCCTTGTCCTGGGGGGACACAGGGGGGTCAGGGGGGCTGGACACCCCCCCGAGACCCCCCCAGATCCCCAGGGACCCCTCCAGAGAACCCCAGACCCCCCTCAGGGACTCCCACCTTGTCCTGGGGGGACACAAGGGTGAGACCCCTAGAGATACCCCCTGATCCCCACAAGGACCTCCCAGACTCTCTCAGGGATACCTCCAGGCAGCCCCCAGGAACCCCCAAACCCACACAAGGACCGCTAGATGTCCCCAGAAACCCCCAGACCCTTCTAGAGACAACCCCCCCCAGACCTTCTCAGACCCCCGGAGGGACTCCAAAGCACCCCAGACCCCCCCAGGGACACCTAGAGGGACCCCCAGACACTGCCCAGACCCCCCCAGACCCCTCCCAGAACCCCCCCAGACCTCAGTGGTCCCCTGGAGTTGTCCCAGGACCCCCCAGGCGTCCCTTGCGAACTCCTCAGGGGTCCTGTACGGGGGGCTCAGCTTCTCCTGCAGCTTCGCCCTCATCAGGGTCAGGTCCAGGGCAGGACCCCCCTCCTGTGGCCACCAAACAGGGGTCAGGGGCCACCAAACCCCTCCCAAGAGCATCAAACTTCTCAAGGGTCACCAAACCTCAGGAGGCCCTGAGGTGTTTAAGGTGGTCCCCACGGCTTAGTAGCCCCCTGGACCCCCCCAGTAGCCCCCACTCACCGTGGGGCCGCATGGGCGCTGCAGGGCCCTGCAGGGCTCATGGCACAGCAGCTCCAGCAGCACCAGCTCACACCTCTGGGGGGGAACAAAGGAGGCAGCCCTGGATCCCCAGGGATACCCCTGGATCTCTTGGGATCCCCCCAAATCCCCCTTCCCCAGGACTCACCTGCTGGTCCAGGGGGCTCAGATGGGGTGGGGATCCCTGTCCCGGGGGGACCTCGGAGGGTGGGGGGAGCTCCTGGCACAGCAAACACGTCCAGTCGGGGCTGCGGAATGGGGAACCACTGGATCCAGGGGAAGCCACGGGGATCCAGGGGGAATGGGGAAGCCATGGGGATCCAGGGGGAATGGGGAAGCCATGGGGATCCAGGGGGAATGGGGAAGCCATGGGGATCCAGGGGGAATGGGGAAGCCACGGGGATCCAAGGGCAGCCACTAGGAATGGGAGATCCCAGGACATATGGGGCCAGGGACAGGATTCCCACAAGGATCAGGGAAGGAGAAAGGGAGGAGCTGAAGGGCCCCTGATCCTGGCATACCCCAGTGGATCCTGGCAGCTCCCCTGGTCACCGTACCTGGGCACGTCGAGCAGGGCGGGCAGGTGGCAGTGCAGGTGGAAGCAGCGCTGACACCGGTCACACATTACCACGGCCCCCGCGCGGCCACACACCCGGCAGCTCCACGCCCCCCCGGGGACACCCGCCGTGGGGACACCTCCAGGGACACTCCCCACAGGGGGAGGGGGCAGCAGCCCCACGGGTTTGGTGTCCCCGGGGTCGCTGATGGCCAGTTCCTGAGGCTCCTCCTGGAGAGGTAAAAGGAAAAGGTGAGGGGGAACAGGGGGGAACGTGGAAGGGACAGGGGGACGTGGAGGGACGTGGGGAGGACAAGGGGGGGACATGGGGAGGGGACACAGTGAGAAAAAAACACGGGGAGGGAAGGCGGTGAGGGAGGACAAAGGGACATGAGGAGGGGATGGGGGGATATGGAGGGGACACTGGAGAGGGGACATGGGGAAGGGCAGGATACAGGCAAGGGGCAATGGGACACAGGGGGACACTAGAAGGGAACAAGTGACACTGGAAGGGTAGAGGTGACACTGGAGAAACACAGCTTACAGCAGAGGGGCACAGGTGACCCTGGGAGTCCAGGGCCCACTCACCTTGACGGGGATGTTTCCCTGTGGCTGCTCGCCCTGCACTGGCCCCTGGGGTGTCCCCTGGGGCGTGCCACCCTGCTCGATGACGATGACGCTGAACTGCCCGGCTGAGGGTCCCGGCAGGACGCGGAAGGCGGGCGGGGGTAGGGCCGGGTCCAGCGCCAGGCCCAGCTCCAGCCGCTCCAGTGACACCCGTGGCACCTTAGGGGGGAGTGGGGGGGGACCCTGGGGAGCCCTCCTGGGGATAAAGGGGGAGGTCAGCACCAGGGGAACCCCCTCCAGGGGATAAATCCTGGGAGTCGTGGGGGGGGGAGGGGGCTGGAAGCATCTGGGGCTTTTGGGACGGGGGGACAAGAAGTGGGGGGACAAGAGACAGATGGACAAGGTCTGGGAGAGTTAGGGACAGGGGGACCCCAGGGTGGTGTTGGGGACACTATGACAAGGGCCAGGGTGGTCCTGGCCACCCTCTGGCCCAGGGGATGAGACAGGGGGACCCTCAGGACCAAGAGACGGGGACCCTCAAAGGGGGTGACAGGGATGGGACAGGTAGCCCTGGACAGAGGTGACAAGGGGGTCCCCTCCCCCCCCAATTACCGTTTAATGACCAGCTTCTTAAACTTCTCCTCCCGGGGGGAATTCCCAGGTTTCCTCCTGAATAATGGGGGAAGGGTCAGGAGGGTTCCAGGAGCCCCCAAAACTACCAAATGTCACCAGGGATGAGGTGACAAGAGACAAGAGGGACTAGGGAGGTGACAAGAGACAGGAGGGACAGGAGGAGGGGAGCCAAGAGACAGGAGGAACCAGGGGGGTAACAATGGATAGGAGGGACTGGGCAGAGGTGACAAGGGACAGGAGCATCCCAGGGGAGGTGACAAAGGACAGGGTGTCCCCCCTCACCTGTCCCCTCCTGTGATGGTGTTTCCGGGGGGGCCGGTGGCTGCTGGGAAATGCCATATCAGGGAATTCCTGGACTGCTCAGTCTGTGTCCCCATCCCCTGTGATCCCTCCATGTCATCCCGCTTCCCAACCTGCATCCCCCTCCAACCCTCTCCACATCCCCCCCTTTCTCCCCCATGTCCCCCCTCCCCAATTCTCCTGTGTGCCCCCCATCCATGTTCCCCTCTCCCCCTTCCCCTCCCATATCCCCCTGTGTCCCCCCCCACCCCTGTTCCCTCCCCCTGTCCTTACCCAGCTCAGGGGTCTCCGGTGGCGGCTCCAGGTGTGGGGGGGACAACTCAGGACATTCCAACCCCTCGATGCTGGGGGAGAACTGAGGCAGGAGGGGGGGACCCAGAGCCCCCCCCGCAATTGGGGGGGACCCCCAGGGGGCCTCCTGTGCTTCTCCCCCAGCCCCGTTCTGGGGTGGCTGCGGGAGCAGCCTGGGGGTCACCTGCCCATTGCTCACCACCTGGGGGGGCGGAGGGTTATTGCGGGGTAGGGAGAACCAGGGGCCCCCCAAAGCCCCCCTAGACCCCCCTAAGTACCTGTGTGGGTGGGGGGGGGTCTCGGGGCCTCATGGCAGGGGTGGGGCTCCCAGAGCGGGGGAGAGGCCACTCCGAGATGATGGTGCCTGGGGAGGCGAAGGGGAGGCATGTTGCTGGGGGGTGGGAACACCAGAGACCCCCTGACACCCCCCTTGTCCCTTGTCTCCCCCCCCAGTCCCTCCTGTCTCTTGTCACCCCTTGGCGTCCCCCTGGTGTTCCCCTACCAAAGTTCTCGGCGCTCTTGGTCCAGGCGGGAAGATCCCACTGGAATTTCAGCTCCCACAGGTGCTCCTCAGGCTCCACCGGGACACGGAGGCTCCGCTGGATCTGGGAATGGATCTGGAGGGACATGGCAGGGGAACACATACAGGTCACAGGGATGCCGAAGGGACACGGCGCAGCACCACAGGGACATGTGTGACAAGGTAGGGACACCCTCGGGACACAGGGGGAATCTGGAGGTGGATTTGAGGGGGTTCAGGGGGGCCTGGGAGTGGGTTTGAGGCTCTGGGGGGGGGTCTGGATGTGGGTTTGGAGGTCCCAGGGGGATCTCAGCCTCACCAGGTTGTAGGAGAGCAGTAGGGCAGTGCCCCGGGACGTGCTCATGGCCTGGGACACGAAGGCCATGACAAGCTCGTGGTGCTTCTGTAGCTCCGCCAGTGCCTGGAGCCGCCGCTCCAGCTCCTCCTGCCACGCCTCCGTCACCTTCTGAGGGGACAGCAGGGACAGGGAGGGGACATGGAGGGGACAGTCCTGGGCTCGGGAAACAGGAGGGGACAGGAGGGGACAGTGCCACCTCACCTGGGCCTCCCCGAGCAGGACCTTGCCACGCTTGTTGAGCTCCCTCATGACCTGCAGAATGGCCATTTTCACCTCCACCTGCAGCCGCTGCTGCGCCTCCGACCCCCGGCGCTGCCTGGGAACAACGGGAATGCCGGGAAGGGGGAGACAGGGGGGACACCCCCATGCACTGCCTGGGAACAATGGGAATGCCGGGAAGGTGGACACAGGGGAGGTGGGGAAGAAGGGGCACAGGGGACACGGGGTGCCACGCACAGGCCGCGCAGGTGCCGCTGGCAGTGCTGCAACACCGAGAGTTTGGTGCCGAGGCACCGGGACAGATCCAGCAGCAGCGCCTGCTCCGTAGGAACTGCCTCGGGAATGCTCCGGGAACTGGAAACGATCCCAGAACGTGGAGGGACAGCGGAAACCGGGAGGGAAACAGGGGGACAGAACAGGAAAAAGGGAGAGGAAGGGGAAAAAAGGGGATTAATGGAAAAAAAAAATGGGAAAAGGGGGAAAAGAGGAAAAATGAGGGAAAAAAGGGAGAAAACCAAAAAACCTGGTAAGTTTCTCATTAGCTCAACAAGTGTTTGTTACCTGCCCAACTAACGAGCTTTGTTTACTAAACTAAAATGCAATTAATGACAATAATTAACCTGCAAACTTTTTCTAGCTCTTCTTCGCCAACTAATTAACTAATCCCCCTTCCAGGTGCCCTTTCAGTCCATAACTCCCATTTGCATTCCCTCTTTGCCCCAGATCCCTGTTTTTCCTGGGCTAAGGAGCAGGATGATGGGTCCCAATGCTAATTAACACGCTTGATTAATACGCTAACAAATGAGCGCTAACAAATGAGCGCTAACAAACTCACCGGTGGCCCTGGTGGGCGCTGAGCTGGCACAGGCGGCACATGAGGGTGGCACAGGTGGAACAGAAGTGATCCCGGGGCTCCTCCGGGTGCTCTGGGCACGGTCCCAGAGAGGGAACAGAACAGGGCAGGGCGGAGCCTGTGGGAACACTGGGATGGAGCTGAGATAGGACTGAGCCTGTGGGAATGGACTGGGATAGGACTGGGATGGATGGGGATGGACCGGGATGGGACTGTCCTGGACAGCACTTCTGCCTGCATGAATGACACAGGAACGGGACTGGGAATGGCACCAGGATAGCACTGGGAATGGGAGTGGGACCCTGAGATAGGCCTGCCTGCAGGTGTCACACAGAGACAGGGGGTGACAGTGACTCACTGATGTCCCTGACGGAGTGGCCTCGGGTGTACCTGACCCTGAGATGGGCCTGCACACAGGTGTCACACAGGGGCTCGGAGCAGTCGTTGCAGAACCTCGTGGCCGCCGCGTTGTCCTCGCAGCTGGTGCAGCTCTGGGGACAAGGGACAAGCTGGGCCACCGATACCTCCCCCTCCCCCGTTTATTAGCGCTAATTAACGCTAACGAGGCTCTACCTGAAGGGGCTCAGGCCCTGCGGTGGCTCCAGCCCCGCTGTCCTGCAGGAAAAAGTTGTCCAGGATGTCCCCCAGGGGACACTGATGGTGGCACACGGGGCACTCGAACACTGCAGGGACAGCGGGGACACGAGGTCAGGGGGCACAGGGGGTACCAGGGTCACCCCAAAGTGCTCCCTGAGCTCCGAGTGACCCCCACTGATCCTACCGATCCCAGTAGTCCCCGTTATACCCAACAGCCTCATTGCTCCCAGTGCCCCCTCACCCGCTCCATCTCCACCGAGGCAGGTCCCGCACACCGAGTGCAGGCAGGGCAGGAGCCGCGGGTCCCGCTGGGGGCTCAGGCGCTTCCGGCAGCGCCCGCAGTGATCCAGCAGGTCCAGGGGACCCAAGGGCTCCGCTTCCAGGCCCTTCCTGGGTGTTCCCAGGCCCATCCCGGCCGTTCCCGGGCCCGTGCCGGCCGCCGCCGCCTCAGGCTCCGACATAGCAGCCTCCTCACGGCTTCCACTCCCGCCCCCCGCCCCGCCTCAGCCAATCAGCAACCCCCTAGCCTGATGGACAATGCAGGGTCCAATGAGAGAGAGAGGAGGGACGAAGGAAGAGAGATTGACGGGGCGAGAGGCCAATAGAAGAGAAGCAGGCCAGAAAGAGAAAGGGCGGGAAGGGAAGCGGGCCAATCAGCTGCGGAACCGCCGCGGGGAGGGCGGGGATTGTAGAGATGGACGTCGCGCTTGGCCAATCGGCTTCCGGGCTCTGCAGGGAAGCGGCGGGGACTCAGCTCTGCAGGATTGGGGAGGGACTGGGAATACTGGGAGCACTGGGGGTCACTGGACGGTACTGGGAGCACTGGGATTCCTGGGGGCACTGAACCTTACTGAGAATGCCGGGGGTACTGAAGGTGTTACTGGGAGGGCCCCGCGTGACACTGGGACCAGTGGCTGAGGGGCCCTGGGCACTGGTGACCCTGGGACAGTGTCCCCTCTTTGTGTCCCAGTGTCCCCCATTATGTCTCCCCAGTGACTCCAGTGTCCCCTCAAGTGTCCCCAATGTTCCTCCAAGTCCCCTCTGGTGTCCCCTCCATTCTCCCAAGTTCCCTCCCATTTCCCCATGTCCCCCCACTGTGTCCCCAGTGTCCCCCTTATGTCCCCCCCGTCCCCAGTGTCCCCCCATGTTCATTGACACCCTATGAGGCCACCAAGGCCATTTGACCCACTGCCCGCCACCTGGGGGAAGAGGACGGGGAGGGGGGGACCCTGTGTCCAGGCCAGGGTGGGGTCACAGTGACATCACCAGGGAAAGCTTTGGAGGAGGAAAGGACATTGCACAGACACTTGCAGGATGGAGCAACCACAGCTTTTCTGGGAATTCCATGCCACCCCCTCCCTGCCCTCATAGGGAGGGATTTCTCCCCCACATCCCACCCAACTGTTCCCTTTTCCAGCTGGAAGCCATTCCCTGTGTCCTGGCACTTCACACCTTGTCCAAAACTCTTCTTCAGCTCTTGGAGCCTCTTCAGGCCCTGGAAGGGGCTCTGAGGTGTCCCTGGATCCTTTCCTTCTCCAGGTGGGACACCCCAACTCTCTCCAGCCCCTAGAGCATCTCTGTGGCCTCCTCTGGACTCAGGGCGCAGCCCATCCATCCAATCCCTGTCTCTCCAGCTCAGCTCTGGGATTTTCTTGGGATACACCTCAGGTGGACTTTGCACAAGTCCAGGTTGATGACATCATCAGCACCCAAAGAGACCCTGAGCTCCAGCGAGGCTGTC